AAATGATACTTCCAGTGTCATGGTGCAAAACAACATAATCACCGTGTAGCAATATTGAAAAAAAATTTCTCAAACTGAAATGACAACTAAATCCTTTATACCAAACATTTCTCAGCAGTACTCATGCCACCAAAAACCAAAAAGAGAAAGCAAAATACCACAACCTGATATTCTTACGTGATTACAACCTTGGGGTCCTCTCATGGCTTCTTTTGTCTCTGTCATGTTATCCGCTCACGAGTCTCTGCAGACAGAGTATGGTGAAATTCAAAATTGTTGAAACCTCTGAAGGAATATATATGGGCATAAGAAAAATCTATAAACAGAGGTACCTGCACTATGTCTCTTGCCTTTGTTCCATGGCACTTTCCCCTTGTTAGCTAGCCCAATCTTTCTTCTTCTCTGGCTTTCCTTATGATCCTCAAAATTAAAACTTTCTTTAGTATTGGGAATACTATCTAACTGGGTCTCTTCATTTGAAGTTTTCTCCTCGGATAAAATGAAACTAAGCTCTTGCTCACAACATCCCAGAACATGGAACTTTTTTCCTGTAGTAACACTGGTATGCAATCCTCTACGAGAATGCAGTCCAGTGAACGAACTAAAAAACCGAAATGAGCGAGATATCTTCTTCACCGGAGATATACAACAACTCAATGGCAGTATGTTTGGGTGAAATTGTGTGCATTTCACCATATAACTAAGAAGAAGCGGTGACAAAAGGATGTCAGGCACATTCTTGATAGGGACATAAGGGGTAGAGAGTCTCCTGATGAAAATACAAATATATGCATCATAAGAACATTCTGTCATCAATTTGAGCCATCCTTAGTATGAACTTAAACAAAATTATTCATCCCCAGTCTATTATATTTTCAATAACTATAGTAAATACTAATTCTATTATGGAATTGACTTAGATTACCACACCATTTCGCCTATAATACAATCCAAATAGCAACAATATTAAAATTCAATTGCATTATGCAGAAGTAATAACCCTAGCAATCAAAATTTCCTTTATTGGCAAAATCAATTATAACCCGATGCATCTCTCAGTAGAACAAGTATAATCAGTGGATTAATGCTTTCTTACATTCCATGTCCAGATAAACATTCATTCCTACTATAAATTCAACCCACAATCTTTGACATCTGAATAATATTGACATAAATATATATATATATATATATATATATATATATATATATATATATATATATATATGAGAGAGAGAGAGAGAGAGAGAGAGAGAGAGAGCTTACAAGTGAGAGAATAGCATTTCTGACAAGAAGGTAGAGAGTGAAAAAGCTTCCAAGCAACATCGAAGAGAGACAGAGAGGCTTTATCTAGCGAATGGCCTATGCCTAGGCCCAAATTTAGCACATATATTTGGCCCTAAAAAAAATTAGAATCACTTAAAAATTTTGTAGGCTTCTAATTTTAAAAAAAAAATTGAATACGAAGTGCAAAGTAAATAAAAAATCGATACAAAAATAATGAGCTTAAGTTTAGCCTTAATAGATATGGGTAATAAATAAATAAATTTGATAGATCTTTTAAATAAATGGGTTAAATAAATCCAACTAAATAAGAAACAAATTTGCTAAATATGACTTATATATAGTACAAATGCGATTATAAAATATTATAAATGGAACGGGTATAAATTGAGTCAATTTTGATACAATACAACTAAATGAATACTTTTTATTACTTTTATTTTTATAGTCTTAATTATTTTTTTATGTAAATACTAAAAAGATGAGTTATATAGAGACACCATATTAAAAGAATAAGATATTTGTAAAAAAGACTCTAAATCACCATAAATGTATAATATTTCGTAATATTATAGTCACTTATAATAAGGGAAAAGACGTGATAGTTTTCATTTGCAAGAATCAATAGGCAAGTAACAAAGTGTTGGCTTAAATTCGAAACTTGTTTTTGTTCGTGTCAAAGTTTTTATTTAATTATTTGTTTTTCCACACACACAAAATATAAAAAAAAAAAAATAAAGTGGGTTAGACTAGCTTACTATTCAAAATCTTATTAACATTAATCATTTGAAAAATTATATTGCTATATTAACAAATTATTTTGTATTGAAAACTATACAAGCGTATAAATTAATGATGAAGTTTTCTAATAAGTTAGTGTAGTTCTCAAATTTTTGATTGATTGCTTGTAAACATTTGATTTACATGCTTATCTGTAAATAATTTATTCTCATTTTGTTATTATTTAGAGTAATTTTCATCCCTTAAATATCTCTCTCCACCCTCATTTAATACTCATCAACTAAGTAGATCACATTTTTTGTTGCTCAAGATCCAAATCCGAGACAAGAGTATGCAATATAGAGGAAGTTAAAGCGGAGAATCCTACACATGACTTGCGAATTTGACACAGAGTTGATAAATTTGAATTTAACTTGAATGGTAAATTGACAATTCATTAAACCTATCCCGTAAAAAAGTCGATACGAATTTGGTTAAACACAACACAAATTCAACTCAGCACCACTTATACATGACACAAATCGGATCATACATGCTAATAAATGAGTGGAATATATATGAATTGAATAAATTTTGACATAACAAAGCTAGCGTTTCAAGTTCATACAAAAGTGTTGAAATACAATAGAAATTCAATAAAGTAAGCGCTACACGGGTAGTGTACCAGTGTGGAGTTAATATTAGAGAGAACCATCAATTCAAACACTTTCAATTCAATTCTTATTGTTGACTCTCGACTTTAACTAATATCTATAATTAACGAATGATTTTATGTATTCGGGTTTGACTTTACAAATATAGATCCACCACGACTCTCTTTTGAGTGGTTTTTCATCCTAAAAATGCATCATGAATTTATAGCCTAAAAATGTGTTGAAGTGTCCTCCAGAATAGCTCATATAAATTTTTTTGAGCATTATTACCTTGAGATCTCAACTTTGATTCTTGTAGAAACAATCTTGATTTACTTGATGCGGGTGATCATGAATAGCTCAGATAAACATTTTTGAGCAATTTTTTTGAAGGCCATCTTGCTTCGGCAATTTGATCAACCTTAACTTTATACTCGGATGTCGTATTCGTAAACGTGATATATGTTTTTCTTGCAAAATTTTATTCTTGAACCACTAATTTATAGTATTTTATATTTGTGTCTCTTTTCTTTCTTCTTTTTCGTCGTAAGTCATTGTCCGAAACAGGAACTGAAATTAGCCAAATTCTCAGATTTACATATGATGGCTCCCTTGAAATATTGGTGAAAGCACTTAATCTAAGTTTGTTTCCGTTGTCGATAATCCTGTAACAGATGTGCATACAAAATCTCATTCCATGTATCAGGAACTCCTGGTAAACACCAATGAATGCAATCAGCGTAAGTTTTTGGATCTGATCTCTGTTCTCTGGTCAAGAGCTTGCCTTTCCTTTCACCATACACCGATGTATGACCGTCTTTTCGGAATTCCGACAACTGGGTGATGTTCAGTAATCTTACTTTTTTCTTCAGTTTTCCTAACACATCTTCCACTATTCCCATGATATCCAGGCTTGAACCAGTTCCCCAGTATGGCCCTTGAATGGGGTGTGTCTCATTGAAACAGTTTCCATCTGTTCCAGCCTTCCACTCCCAGTTCCTGTAAATTACAATATGTGACAGGTTATGTGCCAGATTCCTAGGAGGGTGGTTGCAAATCAAATGTTTAGGATTGGATTCCAAGTGAATCCAACTGTTCATGAATAAATCGGGATCGACTCACTTAAAACCTCGTTCAATAGCATTCATTTATTAAATCTCAAAAGATAAGTAAAATGGTTTTTACTATTCGCAGTTGATCATTTTAAATTTTTACTTTAAAATTAATCTAATGGTTAATATTAACACCTTAAATTTAATAGAAAAATAGGCGTTAAAGGTGTGTTTTGAGTAACTTTTTAAAAGTATTTATAACAATTATTTCTCATAAGTACTTTAAAAATATCACCACCGCCGCCACCACTACCACCACCCGTCGTACCGGCCACCGCCACCACCACCGCCGCTGTCGTTGCTGCCACCATCCTCACCACCGCTGTCGTCGCCGCCACATTGTCGCTATCACCGCCACCACCACCTCCACTGCCGTCGCCGTCGCTACCACGGTCATTGTCACCCACCACAACCATCATCGTCTCCTACCACCACCACTGCCACCCACTATCTCTCATCCTTACTGCAATCGATGCTTAAATTCATTTATTTCTATTATATGTTTATGATTTGATTTTGAATATAAATAAAAATATTTTTATTGTTTACCATTTTTATTACCATGTGCCTAGTAGTATAAGATATTTGGAATTCATAACGATCCTCCTGTGCCAATCTGGAATACTGTCTGTGTGTTGGAGTAATGACTGTTTTTTCAACACTCACCATAAATGTGTTGGAGACATGGTCATGAAGAAGACCTTTTGGTCTTGAGAGTTGATGCTGGATTCTATCCATTTTGCCCAAGTTTCTAATGCTAATCTATATGCTGTAGTTACATTATATTCTTGAATATCCTGAAGAGATCCATATCTGAAACACAAAAGCAACATAGAAAAAAGATTAAATCAAAATGAATCTGAAATTGTTCTATTATATGACAGAATCAAAGTGTTTGGGATAATGCTTGGGAAGCTTTCTTTTGCTTAATTAATCTCCTATTTTTGAGTTTCAAACCATAGTTATCATAATTTACTAAACCCTTGATGACCCACGATCCGGGTAGATTGTTTGCAAACAGGGTGAGTTCGCGATCAAGATCACCAAAATGGACGATCTTAAATTGTATACACAATACAAATATAAAATACATATTAATTAACGTGTATAAAGATTTATAATTATATATTATTTTAGATAATAAAAAATTGAGCACAAATATAAGGTAATGGTAATTGAGTTAGTGTTTATGGATGTTCTAGATTATATAAATTTGATATATAATATTTTATAGTGATAAAAACGATCTAGATAAGAGACTAAAAACAAATTGCAACCTAAACTATCGTATCAGTTAGGTCTATTTTTATCGTACCACATACCTAAAAAAGTATTGTACCATTGTTCCTAACCAATTTTCCTCCTATCACATTCCAATCTAACCACTTTCCTAATTTTCTAATTATTCTTCAACTTCTAATCTTCCTATTCACTTATTCCTGTGGCATTACCGAACAAATTAAACAGATTGGGGGCAGGGACAATTAGAAATATTGAGGCCGTGGGAGAAATTTATAAATTCTGTGCATTTGCACAAGACCACCGTAGTTCAATTATAATTTCTACTATTCACAATTTTCTCGATCCTCTTGAAGTACAGTTTCTCTCAAATTCCTTTAATGATATATCATCCATCATGAATTCAAGTGAGACCCAATATATATACGGGTTGTTAAAAAATTATACGATTAAGAATAAAAATTTAGGGATAACTACATTCGAAGGTATGAGAATGCGCCGTTGGCGGCAGGGGGGTGGTTGTAAATGAAATCAAGTACTCACGTAGCATTGATTGAAGGTTTGTACATCCACCAAACATAGCTCTCAAATACCAGAATATCGACTCCTTTCCACTGTTCGCTGTGTTTGGCAATGGAGTCAAGCTTCACCAGCCGTTTATGAACTGTATGATTTGTTGCATGGTCTGAAATAGACTCAATAAGGAAAGGAGCCCAATAATACTCAATCGATGCATTGTACTCCTGAAACCAAACACCACAAAAATGCAAGTTTGGAAAGCTATAAAGCCAAGACATCTTGGTAAAAACATAACGGAGGCTATTATTGAAGTTGAGCTTCAAACAAGAACAGTTTAGTACACAAGTCTCTCGTCACTATGCGGTTTAGGAAAGATCGGATATATGCAGTATGCGAAGAGGCTGTTTGTCGAACATATTAACATCAAATTAAGGCCTTAAGGACATTAGTCCATGTTATGTTACATTAGTACCTCAGCTATGAAAATCTTCCTTGGAGGGATTCTTTGTAGAGATTTCTTTCCATCAGGAATCACAGATTGTACCAAACAAACCATTGATTCAAACATTCCTCTCTGAATTGAGTCTCCCACGAACATTAGCCTTTTATCCCTCAACATCTCCAAAAACTTCAAAGCATTGATCCTAAGGATTAAGTATAAGAAAAATTCATTACAGATTCCACTTTACAATTTGAAGGAATTAAGCCCCAGGGTTCTGTTTGGACGACAAATAAAAAAAAACATTAATTCCACATTTGTTTTGCTGTAAAGATTCATCAATGATTTGTATTCCAAAACTTTTTGGGAATTTTTACATTCCAAATCATTGAAGATCGGATCAGTACGTCTTACTAACTTTTTCTACTAGAATGCACAGATCCAACCATTCATGCGGAATTGAGATGCAAAATGTGAAATTTTTTTTACAGGGAGAAATTATGTGGATTTTCCCTCACAATTAAATACGTGAAAAATGTAGCCTATCACTAAGTTATCAAACAATGCAATTCTTGCAGTAGATGCCCATAACTCGCAAAGAAATGAATTCCCAAAACGATAGAATGTAAAACTAAAATCGATATTTTTTGACACGTTTCCTAACACGAAATTAATGGGTATGAGTTTAGGTTCAATGACTTAAAGTCGTAACCAATCAGCTAATCGAACTATTTAATATAGATTGATCTTCGAATCTGATTATCTACAACATGAGTCAACCTAACTTATACATGATTAGACATTAATACGAGAGGAGTTAGATACGACATGATAGGACAAAAATAATTTGATGTTTTCATGGAACTTCAAAATGCACGCATGACCCGGGGGAGAAGGGGGGGGGGGGGGGGTTACCTCGGCAGATTGCATGCATTGGGCTGCCACCTCCAATTCTGATAGAAAGAATCAGGTCTTCCATTCCTCCGGCAAGTCACCTGCTTCACCAAGAAGGGACAGCTATCTTCTGCATAAAGTGGGTATGATAAATTGTCCCATACCCATTTTCCATCAAACACATTGCAACCATCTTCAATCACTTCATCGTCAGAAACCCGAATGGGCGGCCTCACAAACCTCTCGGATGAACGCAGTTGCCACAAGAAATAGTTCTGACCATTCCTCAAATCGAGGACGACTCGTAATGACCCGAGTATCAAAAGAGAAGCCAATGCAATGGGGAGAAAAAAGAGGATCCGGCGGTCCGGTGATGGTTGTGTCTTCATGGAGAGCTGGTGGATGAAGAAGATGAAGTGGTGTTTGGCTCATAGTTTTGAGAGGGTTTGTGGGCTTTCCTTTGGAGGAGTGACTTGAGTTTCCAGCATCTATGAAGTTTTCTATGCAACTACTGGTTGGTAGTCTCAAGTTAGATATTGTGTCAAGTATAGTCTTGTTGTTGACATTATGGATCAATAATATTGATGGGTTAAGTCCAAATAGTCCAATTTATGTGTTAAAGTCCAACCCCAGTTGAGGAGCCCAACCTCATTGTGATTCTACCAAGCCCAAGACAGTCCAAGACCGGTTAGACTTCTTGCTTAGCACGTCATCAAGAGGAGAGCACGGGAAGCTTATCTGCACCACCAAAGGAAACGGTCCAAATCCACCAAGTCCAAGATAGTCCAAGGTCGGTTAGACTTCTTGCTTAGCACGTCACCAAGAGGAGAGCACGAGAAGCTTATCTGTACCACCGAAGGAAACAGTCCACTCTTTGACCCCGTTTCATGAAGAGCTCCCCAACCTCCTCTTTCCGTTGAGGATAAGTCATGATCTCCACCAAGAATAATCTCTTAGCTGCGATAAAGAAGCCTTGAGGATATGTCATGATCTCTACAAAAATGATCTCTTAGCTGCTATAAAATAGCTCCAATCTGGTAGAGAGAACAGGTCACGCTCCATCAGAGACTTACAGAAGACGAACCGACTACCGGAGATTACTATTTTTTTTGATTCTCCATTCTCTCTCTCAAAGTTTGTATCTCCATTCTCCATACCTTTGAATCAATAAAATACCCGGCGACTGAAGCCATTGAAGAGTGGACGTAGGTCGAATTGACCGAACCACTATAAATTGTGTCTTCTTTAATTTTTTCATTGATTTCATTGCATTTATTATCTACACTTGACAGGTGGTGTGCAAAACCATTTTTGTGCATCATCAGTTTGGCGCCGTCTGTGGGAAACGACAAAATTCTCACTCCTGAACATTACATCCATTAAACTAATGGCGATCACTACCCGATCCATGAACTAACTTGAAGACAATCCTCCACGAGAGGAAGAGATTGCTCCCCCGCCTACCAACTCTGTCCCGGATACTCTAGCTCCGAATCCCCAGCAAATGTTGGAGACCATGCAACAACTGGTTGCTCAAAACCAATAGTTACTGCAACTCATACTTGCTGGACAAGGAGGAGCACCACTCGGAGGTGCACAACATGGAGGACCCCAAGGAGAAGCACCACTCGGAGGTGCACAACATGGAGCACCCCAAGGAGGAGCACCACTCGGAGGTGCACAACGTGGAGCACCCCAAGGAGCTCCACGTCCTGGACATAAAAGAGCTCCACACCTTGCACATCAAGCAGCTCCACAACTTGTTGATGGAGGGTGCATAACATGGAGGACCCCAAGGAGGAGCACAACACGGAGATGCACAACATGGAGGGCCCCACGGAGGTGCACAACATGGAGCACCCCAAGGAGCTCCACGTCCTGCACATCAAAGAGCTCCACGCCCTGCACATCAAGTTGCTCCACGCCCTGCACATCAAGCAGCTCCACGCCCTGCACATCAAGTAGCTCCACAACTTGGTGCTCCCTATTTGGGCGCCCCCTTTGGAGTTCCCTTGGGTGCCCTTCATAGGGGAGCTCCCCACGGGGGACCTCCACCTCCTTTTCCAGCTCCCTTTTCTCATGGTAGGGGTTTTCTTTTCCAAGAGGACAAGGGTGAGAACTAGAGCATGGAGCATGGAAGTCATTTCCAAGATAATTCCAAAGGAGCTCCCAACCACTAGGACGAAAAAATAAAAGAGGTACAAAATCAACTAGACGACATTTTCAACACTATGAAAACACAGAGACCCGAGACAGTGGACTGCCTCGTAAGTCGAACCAACACACCCTTCGTACCAAACGTGACGAACTACCCACTTCCCAAGAAGTTTAAAATGTCATCCGTTGAAACCTTTGACGGTACGAAGGACCCACTTGATCACCTCGAAACTTTTAAGACCATGATGCAACTACACAGCGTCCCCGACGAAATTATGTGTAAGACATTCCCAATTACCTTGAAGGGATCAGCGCGACAATGGTTCGCCAAACTCACCCCGGCCTCCATAGGCTCCTTCGCCGAACTGAGCAGATCCTTTGTGACACAATTCATTGGTGGACGCCGCCAGCAGCAGCCTGTCTTCCATCTGCTCAGCATAAAACAGGATCATAATGAGAGTCTAAGGAGTTACCTCACTCGTTTTAACGAGGAAGTCCTCCAAATCGAGGAACCCAATGACAAAGTCGCCATGACTGCCTTCCTGGGAGGCCTCTGCTCATCCAGATTCCTTTTTTCAGTAATAAAGCAACCACCAAAGAGCATGCCAGAACTATTCACAAAAGCTCAAAGATATATGAATGCTGAGGAAATCAACAAGTTTAGGCAAGGTGAATCATCTCACAGATCACCAGAAACTTGACCTGCCTCTGCACTATTCTCAAACAGACAACCTATCTCCAGTTTAGCGGCTCTCTCACGGGTCGCCAAAAAACTTGGCCTCTGCACTGTTCTCAAACAGGCAGCCTATCTCCAGTTTAGCGGCTCTCTCACGGGTCGCCAAAAAAAAAAACTTAGCCTCTGCACTGTTCTCAAACAGGCAACCTATCTCCAGTTTAGCGGCTCTCTCACGGGTCGCCAAAAAACTTGGCCTCTGCACTGTTCTCAAACAGGCAGCCTATCTCCAGTTTAGCGGCTCTCTCACGGGTCGCCAAAAAACTTGGCCTCTGCACTGTTCTCAAACAGGCAGCCTATCTCCAGTTTAGCGGCTCTCTCACGGGTCGCCAAAAAAAAAACTTAGCCTCTGCACTGTTCTCAAACAGACAACCTATCTCCAGTTTAGCGGCTCTCTCACGGGTCGCCAAAAAACTTGGCCTCTACACTGTTCTCAAAGAGGCAGCCTATCTCCAGTTTAGCGGCTCTCTCACGGGTCGCCAAAAAAACTTAGCCTCTGCACTGTTCTCAAATAGACAGCTTATACCTCAAGCTTAAAGACTCCCTCATGGGTCGCCAAAAGCTAGGTCTCAAAAAGTGTAGCTCTCTCACGAGCAGTTCTCCAACTCTGTCTTTGCTCTTGCGCAAGCAGCCTACTTTTCTCTCTCTAAGTAATTATGTGAGATATTTTAATGTTTGGAATAAAATTATTTTTGTCATCACAAGCAGGCTCTCCCGAGGCAGCCCTAGGCTCACCTAAGGCGCCCAGCACCTAGAGAAGGGCTTGCTCATCAAGAGCAGCACCCAAAGCTTCCTTACTACTTGCAATGTCTAGCCCAACGCCTAGAAGTGTGCCTGACTGCTGTTGCTCGTCAAAACAAAGTTGCCCAGTAGCTTGAAGGGTGCCTGGCCCTTCAAAATTGCGCAAAGCAGAATTTTTGGCGCAAAAATCAGCACCTAAGGGGCCCAAATCAGCGCCTTGAGTGAGAATCGGATCAGCCCGTGCTTCCAGGCCACTGCCTAGCTCTCCCTGATGAACCTTGTACTGATTTTTAGCGCCCCTTGATGGAAAAATACTGCTGCCCAGCGCTCCAAAGCTGCCCAGCGTAGCAGAACTGAAGCTGCCCAGCGCAGCTGAGCTGTCCGAGACAGTAGAAGCAGCAGCCAGGCTGCTACCCAGTGCACCTGGGCTATCCAGGACAGCAAGGCCAGCGCCCAGGCAGCTGCCTGGGCTGTCCAGGACAGGAGGAGCAGAGCCTAGGCAGCCGCCCAGGCCCCCAGTGCGCGCGCGCGCACTGCCTAGTCGCGCGCAATCGCGTGCCTGCGCTGCCCAATCGCGCGCCCAACCATTTTCCTTCGCTGCCCAAGCCACTCCTCGCGCTGCCCATCTCCCCTTCGCTGTCCAGCCCTTCATTTACAGCCCCAAAGCTGTCCAAAACAGCATTCGAATGCTTAAAATCAACTTCCAAGTTCTCCAAAATGGTGCCTACTTTCTCCCTTTCTTCAACCTCCACCACACCCTCTTCAAAATAAAGTGGAAAAGACTTGAAGTTAAAAAAAAAAAAATGTAATCAATGCCTCCTTCTCTAAGTCTCCTTGGACATGGGGCATTGGGGGGCAAATGATGGGTTAAGTCCAAATAGTCCAATTTATGTGTTAAAGTCCAACCCCAGTTGAGGAGCACAACCTCATTGTGATTCCACCAAGCCCAAGACAGTTCAAGACCGGTTAGACTTCTTGCTTAGCACGTCATCAAGAGGAGAGCACGGGAAGCTTATCTGCACCACCAAAGGAAACGGTCCAAATCCACCAAGTCCAAGGTCGGTTAGACTTCTTGTTTAGCACGTCACCAAGAGGAGAGCACGGGAAGCTTATCTGTATCACCGAAGGAAACAGTCCACTCTTTGACCCCGTTTCATGAAGAGCTCCCCAACCTCCTCTTTCCGTTGAGGATAAGTCGTGATCGCCACCAAGAATAATCTTTTAGCTGCGATAAAGAAGCCTTGAGGATATGTCATGATCTCCACAAGAATGATCTCTTAACTGCTATAAAATAGCTCCAATCTGGTAGAGAGAACATGTCACGCTCCATCAGAGACTTACAGAAGACGAACCGACTACCGACTACCGGAGATTACTATTTTCTTTGATTCTCTATTCTCTCTCTCAAAGTTTGTATCTCCATTCTCCATACCTTTGAATCAATAAAATACCCGGCGACTGAAGCCATTGAAGAGTGGACGTAGGTCGAATTGACCGAACCACTATAAATTATGTCTTCTTTAATTTTTTCATTGATTTCATTGCATTTATTATCTACACTTGACAGGTGGTGTGCAAAACCATTTTTGTTCATCATCAAATATTATTTGGATTCAATTTGTAATATGACCCATTATTTTTTTTACTGTTAGATTGATCCTGTCTAATATCGGAATTTCCGGCTTATCGAATAACAATAATTGATTAAATCAACAAATTATATTTAGAAATTTACATAAATTCCTAAGCATACTAGTT